GCTATCTTCAAAGGCTGCGATCGCGCATGATATGATATTGCCAGGCACGTAGTATGCCCGGTGATTAGCAGAGGAGTCTAAGGGCTGGGGGGGGGAGGGGAGGCTGGAGATGGATATTAGCCTCAGAAAAGTTTTTCCATCGTTGATTTTTTTCATTTTTTGTTTATTTATTGTATGCAGGCGTAGGTGCGCTATTACAATTGATAAGTCGTTAAATGCAACGTAAATAGGGACTAAGGCGATAAAAAATTACTACAGCCCTAAATCCTCAAAACGGTAGGAAGGTGTCCTGTCAGCTACCGAAAAAAACATGCTTCACCACCTGTAGGAGCCATATAAAATTTCACGAAGGATTCAACAAACGTAACTTCATTAGGCGGATGACGCTATGGAGAACGCCACTCCTAGACGAGAATTTTGTGTGCGCATTTTGGTGCGGGAATCTGTAACCGAATTTTCAGATCTCAGTTATTCCCTACCCCTAACAATAAGGGGCGATGCTTGTCGATTCGAGAGGAAGGGGTAGAAGCGTCGCATCTGACTCCGAAAACTATTACCCGTGCGTGAAGAAATTTTTTGCAGTTGTTGATTTTCGTTGCCTTGTTTCGCAAGTGCTACGCACCCTCACAGCTCACTCCCCTCTCGATAGCAAAATTTCAGGGAGAAAATGGAAAATTTTCGAAGAAGTTTGAAGGAAGCCGGAAAATTAGAAAGTGGGATGGAGGGTCAAAGAGTTCGCTACCCAGAAAGACTGGGGGGGGAGTAGAGGGCATCCTGTTTGATTTGGTAAACGTACTCATGATGTGAGAATTTCATGATGGAGCAGAGATCTTTGAGGTTTCTCCGTTTCTGGTTCGATATATTCCACCTTCCCTACCAAAGCGGGCGAGTCCGATTCCCAGGAGGGATGGAAGAATTTGGACATTGAGGCCGAAGGAGTGGTACTTGAGATAGACAGGAATGGTTTTGGAATTTATGAGACTGAGAGCTAGTTACTAATTTTCAGGTAGGAACCGTACTTACAATTGCTCTTGGATTCGCCAACGCGGACTGTATGATTAAATTGGTGAAATGTTCACAATATCTTTGCGACGAGTGAGTGATTTAATACAAGTCTGTCCGATTCCTTGATATCTCAAGTGATTGTCGGGATTATATATTCTTCACTTCATGAAATACAGTACAATCCATATACTCGGAGAAATGGGTTATACGATGAGACTCGCAGTTCCGTTCCTTTATCTTGTTTTAAAAACCTTGTATTCATTCAAATAAATTTAGTAAGACCAGCTACTCACCCTACATCAGTTTGTATTATATTAGGTTGGCGGGAAAGTTCTGTCACATTTTTCAAATTAGGCTTTCTTTTTATAGAGAGGCGTGTAAGATCAAAATTGTACAGCAATGTTACTGCGGGGTTCTTGCCAGTTTTTGAGCACCTCATGGATGCCATCGCTTCACAATGCAGGGAGGCGCGACGCAAAGTTGGACACCATCTCAATCTTGACTTGAACTCAGGTTATGGAGGTTTTCTCGTCCACATAACGATTGAGTACGGGAGGCAACTAGCAGTTAGAAGGAGCAATGTCTGTGCTACACCAGTGCAAGGGGAGAGCCATCCAGCTCTATTGCATGAGGTACGGCTCGAACTTTTTTGGACGGAGTGCGCTGCACTATCATGATGAGGGCGGGCTGCGGACAAATTTTTCCCTCTGATCGACGGTACGCTTTAGATCTCGTAGCTGCTTTGCGTACGCATTGACCGAGGAAGCAGCTTCTTCATCCAGCACTTTCACGACCCGCAGCTCCCTCAGTCTGAGTTCACAGGTAACCCAAACCTTTCGTCAGCAGAAATGTAGAGCCTTCATTCGAGCATTAGCGTACGTGACGGTTGCCCATAATGGAAGATCGTCTTTATCAGCTCACTATTATGGCATCTGCAGCTGTCATGACTGGGGTTATGGTAGTGCCCAAGAAAGGCTGAGGAAGCGCTCTGAGGCGTCACTGCCGATGCGTAGTGGACAAACTCCGCAGTCAATATGGCAGAAGAAGAGGAAGAGTCAGCGCAACGGGTACTACTAGAAAGCCACTCTTAGCGTATAAGTGCTCACATACCGGTTATCCTCTTCAGGTATGGGTGGGTATTTGAGTTGTATTGAAAAAGTGTGAACAGAACGTTTCCGTCCGAACCTAGAATGAACTCGATGAGAGATGCTTAGAGGTTCTGGCCTTTTTGCCGGACGAGCAGACTAACAGCCAATCCATCTGTGAACAGCCACAAACGTGACTGGAGTTTGAATAGATAGCTTGGGAATGGAACAGAGACGGCTTTCAGTGGCAGCTCCACATCTTGTGGGTTGGCCTGGTGCGAAAAAGTAAAGTGGCAGCTGTGCCATGGCATCGAAAGGGCGCAAAAGGATGTGCAGCCTAAGCGGATGCTGACCTTCAAAGAGAGGGAATTCCAAGCGATAGATATGCATCATCATGCGGGGGGAAATTGGGAAGATGCATAGAATGAGTGATCAAAAAAAACACAATGAGTGATGAGAGAGCAGTTATGTACAGCAGGTTGATTTCGAATTGCCCGTAGACACAAAGTAGTAAATCAAGCACCGCTTGGTCTGCGCGGGTAACAAAGCAGAGGACACTGATTCTAGTGAATAAATCATCAGGATGAAGATATTGATTAAAAAATGTAGCTGTTTTCAAGGAAAAAATCCACTGGTTACACTACCACATTCACATCGAAAAGCCACTTGTCAACAGCCCCTCTTTATACGACGAACAACAAGAAGGACTATAATGATTCGGTGAGAATAGCTCAGTGCTTCATTTCATCGGTTTAAATTAGAACTTCACGGTATCCCCTTTTCAGGAAGCTACTCACTCTGAGAAGAGAGCGCTGCAGAAAACCCACAGCGCTGATGATAATCGTAGCTCCAGGTGAGATAGTACACTCCATGGTATAATTTCTTTCTGATCTTCTCTGCTCTCATCTTTTAGTGTACGTCACGGCAACTTTTGTCAGGAGGTTACTAAATTGATCAATCACGTACGCATAAGATCAATATTCCCTAATACGTGTACGTCCACTGAATCTAGCATAGGAGAGGAATTGACCTTCTGTGATGTCACCCTCTGCTAATTGTCATTCTTCGTTAGCACTGATATATATGCCAAGAAAATCGTAAATGCGCCACCACAATGGGCTTGGCATGCGACATCATAAGCGCAACAATAAAGTTGTCTCACAGGCAGCTCCTAGTGGTTGGTTTTTTTCTGGTATTAGAGTATTTAAAACCTGGGTTCGAATCCCAAGTCGACCGCCCAGGCCAACCAAGCCTTCTACCCTCCGGGGACGGTAAATTGGTACCAGATTCGTCTGGGAGGATAAAACACTGACTTGTACATCGGCTGGCCACCGCAAGTCATTGTATAGGCCACATCGCATTCAATAAGCCACTACGATTCTGAATGGAAGTAGAATGCGTGCCGCATCCACATGATGCACATGCACAAA